CAAACATTTTTAATTAACTTAATAAGAATACAATACACACAAGTACCAGAGAAAAATAAATGGAAAACGTCTTTCCTCGCAAAAATGTTCTATATAAGTTGGCAGCTTTCACTTCAATGCTAAATGTCTTTTTCGTGCTTAAGAATGAAAGCTCTTAAACGAATCAAGTGGCTACTTTAATTTGTAATTTGTTTCATTCACAGCTTCGTGTCAGACATTTTAAATGAAGTTTCCTCCTTTCATCCAAGGTTATTGGACTAAATGTGTCTGAAAGCTGGCGTTTATTAAATGAAGTGGGTTGATACGTGACAAATAGGACCACGGTCCTACTTATTAGGATTTAGTTCTATGTTATGCAACTTCTTTATCTCTTGGTTTGTAGCTGTGATGTGCTGTGGGTTCATTTTTGTAGTGATAAACTAATCATATTATTAATATTTTGACATCGTTAGACCGCATATGGGGAGTTAAGGCTTGGTCTAACAGTGTGTTAAGTATGAGAAGTCTTCTATTCGAACCATGGGAAAAAATAAATAAATAATCCAATAACATATATGCACGCCACTGAAGTATTACGAAAACACAATTATGATTCTTATTATTCTGAGATATGGTCTTGTTCCTATAATTAAAAATTCCTTTACTCATTCTTCCGACATTGCGAAATTACATTATACATTTTCCGCTTAACCAATGGAGTAACAAAATTTAATTATAATTTTCTACATATTAACATCAAAGTAAACGTATTCTCTGCAAAGGCCACTCGCTACAAGAGAGTTACATTAGGGCCTCTTCAACGAGGGTACATTATTGCTCGTTAGGTTTTTAGGACGGCGATGAACGTACATTGATACACGACCGTAAATCCGACGTTCTCATCCTTACCTCGCTCTCATATTATACACTTGAGATAAAAACATATTATACTGAATTATTCAATCCCCTTTCAATATGGTAGTACTAGAATGTCTACTTTTTATCTCATTACGTGGTAACTCGTTTCCATACTTTAGCTCAAAATTCCTCGGTTGGAATCTTGGATAAAATGTTTCACAGCTAATCTATAACTAAATAGAATAATTATGTAACTAAATTGATTAAATAATTTAATACTAATCGATTGTTAGTTTATTATTGTATTGTTAAAAATTTTAAAACTTTAATATTTTTCACATTGTACATGATGGCATTATATAATTTAAAAATCGAAAAAAAATTGTAAAAAAAATCGACTCGGGAAGGACTTGAACCGGCATGGTCAGCGTTCCGTGCTGATGCTCTAACAATTGAGCTACCCAGTCAGCGTTCCGTGCTGTTGGTGTTATTTTCGATTTTTAAATTGTTAAAAATTGTTTGTATTTAGAACAATGATAAGAAGTATTCTTAACTAATTTTAATCACAAATTCGTACCGTACTAGGTACGAATTGTATACAAATTAATATATACTAATCGTGTTACGAATATCCCAACCATCTTATTTATCTTTATTATTTCACCTTCCATCAAGTGATTGCATTGCTTTTCTTGTCATTTCATGTCTCTATCATGAAAAATACTTTTAGTCAGTCGACTATTATCTTCAACGGTTTTATTATACAAAAAGCTTTCATACCTGTAGGTAAAGCGCTGAAATTTGAAGTTTGTTTATTCGTGTTTTACTGGAATTAAATGTTAATATTAAAAGTGTAGGCTGTGTTCTAGGCGAGAGGTCAGCTGAAATTAAAGTCCGCTAATATTTGTATTCAATTTATTATTCCATTAGCTCGTATCTCTTGGGTATACATCATGTTGAGTGGCACCGAAGATTACATTAAGATGGCATCTGTGATACCTCAATAGGATCAATGTTCAAGGGGTTGCCTCGCTAACGACGCGCTTTTCAGGACACTAATTCCTTAACAATACCGTTTTATTATATTATGTTAAGTCGGGCCTGTTAGTTCAATGGTGGCACTGTATGGCTAATAAACTCAGAATTCTTTATCAAGGTTTTTTTTTTTAATTTTTAAAACAAATAACGAAACTCTGGATGTTAAATCTGGTGACAAATAAAAAACCATAACGTGTGTAATAGTTTGTGACTTTATGAAAGGTCAAAGGCGACATAGGTCGATAGCGCAACCTGCTTGGTCGATACATGGCTGGGTTATTTCATTATCTATTAAGTGAGATTCATGCTTGTTTGTCCACCTCTTCATAAAAGCGTGCTTATATTCAACATTGTGTTGCTAAGCAACTAGATTTACTATACAAAACATCAATAATGCCGTTGCGTAAAACTGTCCAGATTGTATTGATTACCCAAAGATTGGAACCCAGAACGGCACATTTCGCATTTAAGCGCCATCTTTTCTATGTTATGGTTGTCCTCTTATTAGAGTAAAAGAGATATAGTTTTTCTAATAAACGGCTTGCTGCAGAAACATATATGTATGAATTGATAGATTTTATAAAAGCGCTTATAGGTTAAACCTTTAAATATCTTTTCTCGGGCTTCGACTCTGCTGCCTTTAAGGAATCGCGTTAGAAGTCCACAGGGGTCGGAGGTCGACACCTAATAAAAAATTAAAATACATTTCTATCTAGGACATTTCAAGATTATCAAAATAAAACTCGCTTTTAATTAGCATAATAATGCAGCTATTAACACAACCATTGAAACATGAAAAAAATGTGAAATCTAAAGCTAAAAATATCGGTTCTAAAATTAGGTTAATCATTATTAGAAAAATCGTTCCACTTTTCATTAAAAATAATGAAAAGCGACGTTTTGTGTTTGTAATGATCGGGCTTGTCTATCATTCCCACTGGCAGCAGGATTGCATCCACGTAATTAGGTTAATTGGTAATCATTCGCACTATTCTCTTGGTAAGCGGCATTTAAGGATTATCTCAGTAGCTTTTATAAAGCTACATTTAAAAACACTAAATGGAAAACGTATGATTAGAGATTAAGTTTAAAGAGATTTTAAAAGTTTAATAAAATAAATAATAAGCTGTCTGTAGTATACGTAAGTAGTACACATTTAAATAAAATACTTGTAACTGTTTAAAACGTGATATATATTAGTTAAACGTATTTGAAAATTATTTTAACTACGGCCATACGTTTCGGATGCTTCATATATATCGCGTTTTAAACCGTTAAAATGTTTTATTTAAAACATCTAGTATGAGTTAAGTTGAATATAGTAAATAATAATTACACCAATATTAAAAATAATAATGTGACCTGACGCAATATTAAATACCCTTTCTTGGGATAATAAGGGTTGCTTATAAAGGCCGGGCTTTGCAGCGGACAATAATGGACGAACACAATTTTCATACATATATTAATGGAAATTAATAATGTGTCCCACTTCTTTGGACAACTCAATGTTTGAAAACTTTAACATTTTTAACATTGCACATGATGGTACTATATTAATTAAAAATCATTTATAAATTGAAAAAAAAAATACGACTCACTGCAATATTCAAGGTGCAGGAATTTGACCTTGAATTTTTTTTTCAATTTTGCGATGAGACCACCACGCTATTATATAGTGTGGATTGGCAAACCAACGGAGATACGTGGTTTCCGAGGCACAGTGGAAATAACTTTCTGCTATCTAGTGAATAATATGGGAAATAGGGACAAATAAAACGCATTTCAATGTAACACTTAAACATTTTATTTACAAAAGTATTCACAGTTGACTTAAACCTATTATTTCCCTTCGTTTATTTAATTATAATATTCAGACATACTTCGCAGATACACAGAAGTGCAATCTTTACACCTTCATTCTACTATTTACAGATAATATGAAATACCTACGAGTTTAATATTATTTACTTCGATTACAATGTATTTTAGGTCAGACGCGCATGTAGCAACGCGCTGTGAAAATTCGCAGGCAGAGCCTTTCACCAATTAAATTGCGCATCTACCCGCGTTTCCATTCATTTTAATTTATTATTCACCAATCACCATTAATGTATGCTCACTAAAATTTTCAAGCGAATTTATAAACATTTCGTTGTACGACTATCGTCAGGGCATGGAAATACAAAAATGGCGCCAATAATTTTATAATTATATTTTGGTTATAAACGAATTGTTCATGAATGTATATTGATTAACTGTAATGCATTTATCCAAAACGGAAAAATAAAATTTAATTTATATAAAGCAATCGGGTAGTGAAGGATTAAATTTTCACTTGTAATTAACTGCCGTATTTACATCATATTCAGCAACTCATTTACCAGTCAAATACAAACAACCGCGAAAATTGAATTAATTCATTAAAATCATTATGTACATAATTTGTTTGCTGATTTAGGAACAACAAAACGGTTATGCAACAACAATAAACAGCTTTATATAAATTGAAAATCAACAGGAACCAAATTGATATGTTGCTAAAAACTGTGTACAAATCCAATTAGCGTGAAATAATTTTAAACGCAAATAGTTATCATTCGATTACACATTTAAATTTGGAACACATTTGTTATGTCAATAACTAATTTAATACTGACTCAGAATAGAAATAAAGATAAGTTACCTAGTACAAACGGGTGAGTTAAACTATTTTATTTAGATTTTCCGGTCAAAATGATAAAGAAAGTTATTATGTGGCCTTTTCTCTGTCCTAGGCTATCAGTTAGGTTTGCCTTTTAGAAAATTACACGTAAAGTTGAATCTATATAAGTATAAAATGTTTTTTTTATAAGTTAAAAGTTTATTAATCGCCTGAAGTCAACCTACAATTTATATACACGTGATAACGCTATTAACGAACCTAACGTATTTTATTGCGTACTCCCATGGCATTTTATCGTATAATTTGCAATGAAATATTGTTATTATTTAGCAAAGATCGTAAACCCCGATTTTATTATATTTACAGCGCAATCATATTAAACGTATATGAACGAAAATGTGATAATCTGTAATAATTCGTTTCATTATAACTAAATAGCATTTGATGCTTTTATAACTTATCATCTAAGATCTAAAGCGGGATTGTTTTGGAAGGGAATGTTGGAGAGAGCTAAGAGGAAATGGTACTGGGTGTAGATTATATCAAAGATTAGCTTCGATAGGGAGTCTCTGTGGAAGTAGAAGTTAGTTAACGTGGAGAGAGTGTAGAGGAGTGTTGGTGCGGAGATTGTGGCACCGCTCTGCATCGCCGCTGGCCGTTCGCCGCTCACCACGTGGACAACGACCGATGCTGAATCTAGAGACAATATTAGATAAATTAATATGGAACTTACAACATGAAGATTTACGTTTGAAATTTTAATATTTCCACATGGTGTCTATATACAGAAATGTATCGATTTTAAAAACATACGATGACTCGCGGTAGCTCGAATTGTTAAAGCAGCTGTCTATATCACTGTGGTTTCCGTTTAAGTCCCTTTCGTTCATAGATTTTTTACGATTTTCGTATGAACTAACCATAACATCTCACGTGTACTTATAACGTTAGTATCAAATAATATTTATATTAAATAAATTAATGATATTATAGTCATATTTATACATAATTAATTATATACTATACTAACTAATTAAGGTGATCTATTTCGAACCAAATGATAAGTATTTCATATAATAGATGGGTTGTAAATAGTTTTCTTAGAATTACAAAATGTTGCTGCTTTTACTATCCTTATCGGACTGAGGTTTTGTTAAATGTACCTACATTATTTGGTTTTATCTGATGTTTTATGGACAAGTAATAATAAAACTAAAAATACTTAGCAATATTAAAATAGAATGAAATTGCTGAATTGGTACCTCATGCAAGTAAAAACGTATATATCTTGTTTGTTCTTAACTTGTATGGTAATGCTGGTTTAATATATTTAAAGAGACAGATTCCCTTGTCCCTTTTATTTGACCTGTGACTTTTGAAAATAAATAAACGCTTTATGTGGGGTTATTTGCGTTTCATCTGATTATTATTTACCAGCGTAATGAGAAGCGAAGTGAATTAATTACTATGAAGTAATTAAATATTTGCTGATGTTAAAAATGTAACTGAAAATAACCCACATCGTGCAAATATATGCGAATTCAATTACATAATACTCAAGGGAGTATGTTTTAAAAGTACAATTTTGGGAGCCATTTTGATGTTATGGTATGTACAATTCTAGTGAAAAACATAATGCACAAACATCTCTTACATCCCAGCTGTGGGAATTATTAGTGTTTATGATAACAACGAGCTTATATATTGTCTGACGTTTATCAAAATGGTTCACAATAATTTCCTTTTTTACTACCATTTCACTTGTTATCGTGACTCCCTAATCAGCAATAATAAAATAATGTGCACGTTTTAATCTGTTAAAAGTGTTAAAAACTCTACTAACAAGAATCGCTTCTTGTATTACACAAAAAATGTCTATTTGAATAAACCTTAGAGAATCTTGAAAGGAAAAAGGAAGTTCAACAATATCGTCCCATTCATAATTTTTATTACTCAATTTTCAGTTTGTTCAGCGCTATTGCACTAACCGTAGCGCTTTGTAATAACTGACACGGCGAAATTCAAATTTTGTTAAAACTCCAGCTTATAAGGCTTGCATTTTTAACAAAAGTGTAATTTCATAATCGTGCGCGAAACGCTTACGACGGCATACTTTGTGAGATTAAATTATCTACATTGTTTTTGCTTTATTATGTTGTATTAATATTAACATTAATTTTGTGATATTTTTTTTTTAATTAATCTGTAGTTTATGAATGTAGAACGCAGACAAGCGAAAATTACTAGTTAACTTATAAACAATGTTTTTTAAATAACCACAACCTGATGTTTTGAAGCTTCAAAAATGTTTTATTTTTTTTATGTTTTATTTTTCGTATATAAATTATAAAGAAACGGATATGTAGGAATTGATAATAGTGAAACTTAATTATTTCAAAACATATGTTATGTAGTAATTATAACCATGTGTTAATACTTGAAAACTTTATTATTTTTATACATGTTATTGCACATGAAGGCACTATATAATTTAAAAATCGAAAATAAATTGAAAAAAAATGTTCGACTCGGGCAGGACTTGAACCGGCATTGCGTTTCGTGCTGTTGCTCTACCAATTGAGCTACCGAGTGGTAGAGCAACAGCACGGAACGCTGACAATGTCGGTTCAAGTCCTGCCCGAATAGTAATTTTTTTCAATTTAATTTCGATCTTTAATTTGTATACCTACTTTCAAATATAAAAGAAATATTTTATAAGCTACTTAGATTATTAACGTACACTGACGAAAAAGCTAGAGAAAAATGGTAGGGAGGTGAAAGCCACACAAAGGCGTAAAAAATGCCATGTAGAATATAATTATGCAATAGCAACAATATTATATACTGAATATAACTGATATCAATTTGCAGTCTCACTTACCAGAACTACTGGGGGCACATGTATAATTTCCTGAGTCTCTTGGTGACGCCCGAGCAATCAAGAGCCGACTGGTTCGAGTTCTCTGTTCCGTTTCTACACTGATGCCGCCTCGCTGTGCATAATTCACCACGTTCGTACCTCGATACCAATAAATGAAACTGCGAACAAATAAATATTATTGAGGAACATTTTTTTAAATGATGAAGCATGGGGTTTACTCGATGGGAGATTATTGGAATCGAAACGCGAGTAAACTTTACAGCTATTTCATTTGTGGATGGTGGTTCGTGACCCGGACGGAAAATTCAATATTCCTACCAGCCGTTTGGAGATGGAACCCACTTCCCGTTGATTATTAGCCATACATTACCTACCTTTAGACCAACAAGCCCGTAAAAACGTTAATCCGGCTTGAAGGACCAAAGCCGTAAACGGTATTCCATAAAGGTTTCAAAATGTCACTAGCGTGTTTATACACGATTCCTATGAACTATAGCGCTTTGACGATTTGATTTCAAAACGTTGTTGAAACAGTGAATTCTAAATATTTTCGTTTAGTTTACTAATGAGAATGAAACATGCATTTTTCCACCCTGAATTTTTTCACTGATTGAGTGGAAATAACACTGAAATCTGGTACACATTTGTGCGTGTATGCTATTGAAGTACATAATTTTTCGAATAAATATTTATTTCGACTTTTTATAAATTCTTTTTTATTTTATTAATTTAGTTCAATTAATTATTAATAGTAAAATGTAAAATGCGGCAAATTTGAGAATTTAGTGTTCTTTTACAGACTAGTAGTTGATCAGAGTCTGTGCAGTACTTGACTGAAACTAACTATCATTTCCCCGGAATTTCCAGGACTTATAGCACTTAGGACATTGCTCGGTAACCCATTTTACTATAGAGGCGATAAAAAAAAAGTATGCAAAGGAAAGAAAGTAACAAAGGTATAAGATCGATTTGTTCTCCTCAAAAGTGTCTTTGAAAATTGTATATTGCACACGATGGCATTAAATATAGATAAAAATATAGATTTTAGATTAAAAAAAAAGAAAATTCGACGGTGACGTGTAGGACATGGTAGCTCAATTGCTTAGATTCGGGCAGGATTTGAACCGGCATCAACAGCACGGAATGGTTTGGATGCCGATTCAATTCCTGTCCGTATCGTAAATGTTTTATAATCTAAAATCGATGTTTAACTTATAAAAATAACTTTTTTGATACGTCATAGGTAATATTGATATTTTAATATCTGAACGGTATGCGCTAATTGTAAAGCATTTACCTAGGTGGATCTGGTGCGTGGCGAGCAATACACGTCAGGTTGATGTCGGAACCAGCTCGTACAAACAGCTCCGGACCAGACAGGATCTCAGCTTTTGATACTGTAACAATGCCTCACTTAAACTCTCTAGCTATCTGTACTAGACAGCTTTACAGAGCCTTTACACTAAGTAACATTCGCTGACTTATACGAGAGAAACTGTGCTTATTATAACAGGTAACAATTCCTGACGGACATCCTGTAAGTTTAAGTTAATGCATTTTTTAATTAAAGTTTGGAGTGTTATGTTGTTTAGTTTTTAATGACGTTCGATTTAGTATTAATTTATTTTTATTTTATTCGTATAGCAATCATTACCGTTTGACCATTATTTATTTTTAATAAGATAAACAACAACGACACTTAAAAATGCACATGATGGTATTATATAAATTAAAATGTGCGCAAGAGGTGCGTAAACCAATAGTTTGAAAAAAATCGACGATGACGTGTAGGATACGGTAGCGCAATTGGTTAGAGCAACAGCAAGGAACAAAGTAAATGTCGGTTGAAGTACCGCCCGTGACTTAAATTTGTTTCAGTCTAAAATCGATTTTTAAATTATATTTCAACTCAATCTTTACTATATATAAAACAAGTATATTCTATATTACGTTACCTTTTCTTAGTTACAATTGTTGATATATAACATGTTTGTTTTTGTGCATTGCATGAGCAAATTTAAAATGATTTTCTCCTAAAATACTTTGTACATTTTACTTAAAATTTTAAGTCACATATCTTTTGAAACTTAATATCTTTACTACGCTACGCTGATAACATTCGTGCATAGATGAAGTCCCGTAGGAATCAACTTTGTACATATAACTAAATTAACATTGAAGACAAATTCAGCACGAAGTTGAGAATAAGTGCATCTTAACCAAACTTTAATTAAACATAAGGTTAAGTTGAGATGCACTTACCCGAAATCCGAATAGAGCTCCGAAACTAAAGCATTAATTTGAGTTCAGGAGAAACATTTCCATTCAGGTGTTCTGACAGTTGAAGCTTGTGTGATCAAGAAATAGAACTTTCCTGACCGTGGCTGCCTGGTTCAACTCAGACTTGTTCAACTGTCCGAAGCAAGCTAAAGCCATTGGAGCCAAAATTAATTTCGCTCGACAAATTGCTACTTGGACGTGTGAGACTGCTGCTCTGTACAATTGATTTTACTGAACGAAATATTAGTTTTAGAGGGGTTTGTTAGAGAAGTCACTTATCGGACAATTGTTTTAGAAAGATTGAAACCGTAAATTTACGCGAGTAGTACACATTTAAATAAAACACTTTAACGGTTTAAAACGCGATATATTAGTTAAACTCAATTCGTTCATTTTCAAATAAGTTGAACTAATATATCGCGTTTTAAACCTTTAAAGTGTTTTATCTAAACGTAAATTTCGTTTTCCCGTTTTTATATTTTTTCCACTTTTTCGGTTCTATAGTCGCAGCGTTATAAAGCGTAAAGCCTCCCTCGATATGTGATGTATGCAATACGAAAATATTTCTTCAATTCGAATTAATAGTTCCCGAGATTAACGCTTTGAAATAAATAAACATTTCAACTTTATAATATTAGTATAGATTGACAAATCATGAATCTTATCTTTTGTTATTTGTAAGGCCACATTTCACGTGTATATTCCTCAAAATGCATATTCAAAAAATATTCTGCGATAGTCTACGATCAGTAACATAAATATAGTAAGATCCCAATGATAAATACATTAATTTACTACTCGTACAATGTCTATAATAATGTCGAATTTAAAGTGATCAATGATAGTTTCATTTATAGATATGTGACTATTTATTCCTTTCATAACACACACTGATTTGAAACGCAATAAATGTAAAAAAGCTAACATTTTCTTACTCCATTTGTATATCATAACTAACACGCAGATTTACAAAATATTTCGTAATAAAAATGTTGGAATGTATTAGTTTCAATTCATTTAAAGTAAATATTTGTCTCAGTAATGATTTATATTAAAATTATACTCTACTTATAACTTCTATTTGTATAATAGGTAAAACTTTTTTTTACAACCCACCAACTATGGAGATTTAAGTGTTATCTAATTTCCGTTCTATTACGCCATTAAATAACTAAATTGGCTATCGACGATTCTAATAAATTACCTAAATTGAGAATATTAATGATACATAATTCACAGAAATTCTGCAGGGTAGTTTTTACTTTATAGAGCTTTGATTTGGGTCCGATATGAAAGGTCGGGGTGATAAATTAGAAGCTATTATTTGGTACTATTTTGCTATCCACTTTGGATGAGGCATCGTTATGTAGCGTTGGGAAACTCTCCAAACTTCATTCGGAGGCAAATTATTTTTTAAACATCGACTCTTTATTAAAACTTTGACTTATGAGTAGGCTTATGGTAATTTATAATATTTTGTATTTATTAGATATGTCTAAGAACAGTAATATTGTGTTTAGATTAAACTAATGTAAGCATTTTCAGAGCTTGAAGTTTTTTGGGTGTAGGACCGACGAATTAAGTTATATACTTTTAAATATAATTAACTTTTCTCTTTTGCGGGCCCTTATTAATAAGGACACGATACAAATAATATAGGTACAATATAAATATAAACAATAATAGTGAACGTGTTTCACGAGACAACAGAGGTGTGTAAAGCTAGGTACACCTAACTCTTTAGTTCAGTTAACTAAGTTTTAGGTTTAACAGAACTAAGTATTTTTTAGCCAATAACCAAATTGAAAGTGTGTATACGTACACACTATTTGTTAGATTCTATCTTTGATTTTTATTATCATTAACATGCTGCGATATAGAATTACTTCGTGTGGCATTACGAAAATTAATTAATAAAGGTATACTTACCAACAACTGTAAGCCAAAAAGAGAGGCTTATTTTAGGTTCTGTTGACACTTGGCACTCATACGCCCCGGAATCGCGGGGCTGCGCGTGGGCAACTCTGAGCGTCCATTCATCAGAGCCATCTGTGTGTAGAGCCGCGAATCGTGCATCGCTACTGTATGTGTGTACTCCGACAGTTAGTATATGCAGATCGCGTTTTCGTATCCACGAGACCTGGAAAAAAATCTTTAATAAGTCTAACTTTTATATGTAAAAAGAAATGACTGTTAAAGAACTGACTAAGGTATGAAATAAAGACTTCGAAAGGCTGATAATATAAGTAAGATCAGTAAAATGTGTTTCAGTTTTTAAGGCTTCTAAGAGTTTGACGGGTTCGTTGGTGTAATGATAGCAAAGTACGGCTAATATTGGCAATGGTTCGCGAGGTCGATTCCCACTGGATCCAACATTTTTCTAATCAATTTATAATTTTTCTGAAACACGTTAGACTTCTGAACGAGTTAGATGAACACACGTACAGTAAACTAGTAAAAGATCCGAAAAAGGCAATTCTTAAGCTTTTATCATATTTAGACTTATTTATATAGTTAAACTGTAATGCCTTTTCTGTGTTAATTTTTAAGTTAATTTTTAAATAATTAAATTGGTTCTATATGACCGGTAGCAGAAAACCGTTTAGTTTAAAAAAAATGTTTTTAAATAGTATTTTGTAAAAAACTCGTCTAGAAAACTGGATATATAATGGATGGTAGGAATATCAAAGCGTCCGTCGGGGTCATGAACCACCGTCCACAGTTAAAAAGTCGTGGTTAATTGCGTTTTTGTTTCAATCTATGGATTTCTGAATATCCAAAGCCAAAATAGCGCATCTTTTTTAGATTTTATATGGCTGGGACATTTCATGTACCATCAAGTGAAGTTAAGTGTTGCCTATCTGTCCTTCTCTATCTTAAAAAAGGTATCCTACACATAATACAAAGAATCATTTTCTCTGAAATCATTTCTTTTCAGGTTAGCAACAGCATATTGTCAGTAAAACGTGGTAATAAATACAGAGAACCATAATATATTTGGTAAATTAAATTAGTTAATCTTGATATTATTTTGTTGGAGATCAAGCGAACTTTTGCGTAGGCTTTATTGAGAAGGTTTTGTATTTAATTCTTAAGAAATATACATTCTCATCCAATTATGTTAAGCTAAGTTCAATGATTTTCAAGCCCATATTTATAAGTAGAAAAACGTATTATAATTCTTCAGCTCAGTTATTATGCGTACTGTTTCAGTAATAAATAAATGTAACAAAATTTAACTTTTTTATATTTCACAGTGTACATGAAATACAAATACAAATTGAACTTTGTAAACATTACTTAGGTTAGTTAATATAGTCTATTTCAAAAGTTGGATTTTAATTAAAATAACCCGGCGAGAGTTGAAATTACTTTCATCGTCCATGTTTAAAGACGTATACACAATTTACTAAATGGTCTATAGTGGGGAAAATTATTTACGAAATGATTGTTATTGTGTTTTTATGACTACGAACAATAGTAACTTATATGTATGTATAGGTATCCATTCAAAAATTTAAAATTACTAATAAAATAAAACATAGAAGAACAAAATATGTGGATAATAATAATTCATACTTATTGTTTGGTTACCTGTGCGTATTGATATACATATTTTTAATAGGTAACGTTATCATTTTAAATACTGTCTGCAGTACACATTTAAATAAAACACTTTAACAGTTTAAAACGCGATATAATTTAGTTTTTAGAGAATTATTTTTAACTACGTTATCATTTTAGAAAAATAATAAATACACGTAAATTTTGAAATTAAAAAACGATGTGACCACGAAAAGGTTCTTCTGTTCGAGCAAATTTAGTACTACAAGCCTGGCAACCGTGACCCGCGATGCGAATGGCGAGAAACTGAGCTACGAACGCCGTTATATTTATGAGAGATGGGTTTTTATGAAATCACAACACAATATAAGTAATAAGAGAATTAACAACTAATTGTCCATGTTTTTATTTAAATTTTGTCTAATGTTTCAATGTTTGAAAACTTAAAGTTTTCACATGTGATAGTATTATATAAATAAAAAAATCGGTTTTAGATTGAACTATTTTAAAATTGACCGTGTCGTAAGTGCCTAGTTATTGCAACGGCATGGAACGCTGTGGTTGCCAGTTCAAGTCCAGTCCGTGTCGTAAATTTGTCTAAAATCGATTTTAAATTTAATGTACCATTGTCACTACCACAACGCTAAGTATCTCTTCTTAAGGTTGTATATATATTTATTTTATAGATTCCTACTAAGATTCCTACATATAGACATTGCGTATTGCAACAGCTGAAACACTCTCTATTAAAAAAAAAGAAAATTGGGTACCCTAGAACATTATTTGGACTTAATTAGACACAGGGGCATATAATGGCTTTTACATAGCAGACGTTGTTAAATCTATTATTTCTTTAAACCTATCTACCTATATATTTTGCTTTCATTAAACCTGCTAATTTTATTCCACGTCGCTCGGGCTTCGCTCCTGAGTCGGGAACTATGCAATTATTAAAATATTACCTGGAAAGTTTCTCATGTCATATATTGTTACTATAATACGTGTAACGCAACGCATATACGTAAAATTTTAAAGAACAAGCCTAATTTTTTACACCAAAATTACACCTTGATTGTTTGATACTGTAAAACATTCTAAGAAAGATATTTGTATTTATATTTATTTTAAATTTAAAGAGACAAGTTACGTACACGTATATCTTAACATAGTACGTTAACTATAACAACTGGAAAGCTATGTTTGTGTATGGTTTAGGTAACTTATATTCGTAAGATTTTGCATAAAAAATACAACTTAGAACTAACACCCAGTCCCAACAGAGAGAACTTTTAAAAGGGCTGACCATTCTCGGGGCAGGTTAAAAACTAGTTTTAACATTATCTTGATATCATGCTTTATGCGAGTACAGATTAAAATAAACATATAAATTTAACGAATTAGAATAAAGGTAACGAAATATTTTAAACACTTAAAAAAATATATGGTAGTTTCATAGAAAAATTCTTCGGATATGTCCTAAGCTCTTGATTTGAGACCTGGTAGTTGTTCGGAATAAAATAGTAAATCGGAGGGTAGTTTTGTATAGTCGATAAGGCGGCCGAAGGAAAGTAGTGCGCGCGGACGGACGACTCTCACGAGGAGTTGATTGTGTATTTTTTAATAAATAAGTTTATGTGACTGCCAAATTCATATAATTAAGGCGTTAATATACGCCATATTAACGCCCGCGAGTGAGAAAAATCGAAATGTTGTCATAATTTTTTCCGCGAGTTCAGTGCGTTAAAAATAATACATTATCGTAATCAGTGCGCATATTACGTGGTGACGTAAGTTCATATCCGAACCGATATTGTTTCTTAAAAGTGAAATCCTGTTTCCTCTCGTGGGGCATGGGGCGAACACATGTCTGTGTCCGTTTCACTAATCGATTTTATTTACAGGCAAGTAGTTGAACATTGACCCTGCTCTGCCCGACCGAAACAATTTATTGCTTACCCGGGATTCGAACTCAGGACCTCTGGCGCTTAACGCAATTCTAGACAGCACATTCAACCATTTAGTTACAGTGGCGGTCGTTTTGTTTCTTAATATAATTATGTTCTTCTTATATGAGCCCCTTAATTTCAGATAAATTCAGACTGACACGCCACAATAGTGTAACTTACCTAACTAGAACAACCACTGGACCGGAGGTATGTACTTATTGTCTTAGTTAGTTATTAGCTTATTTAATTGCGTGTTGACATTTTTACCATTATTGCCCTCGTGATAAATGTAAGTTATTGAGTCTTTTTTAACTGGCGTGACGTTCATAAGCGTACCCAGTTACATGAATGATTGAAATGGTTTTGACTTCATATACCTATAAACAGCTATTATATACAAGTATACATGCATATATAACAGAGTTCCCGATCCGCAAGCCATATAAATTAATTATTGGCCAAACCTGAAAGCAACTTAAAATGTAGCATCGAGTTCGCTAAATTACGGTCTAATGAAGCTAATTAGAGGCGGGCAAAGCCAATATTGTGCAGTTTCTGCCAACTCTAGTAATGTGGGCTTCAGTCATATTTCAGTTGTTAAAATTTGCGTTATTCACGAGCTGAGTAAAAAGCAAATTTAGTTAAAGGCTTTATTTCGGGGTCGGACCAATGTTCCAGCTCAGTCTCGTTAGCTACTGTGCCGCCATCTGTGTTCATCGACATTAATCAATAACATTTTGGTGTTGTCTGTAGTTTACACTGGTACTGCAAATTTAAAAAAAAACATTTTAACGGTTCAAAACGCGAAATATATTATATATCTGACCGGTCACGGGGGGCGCCTTGTCAAAGCATCCGAAACATCGGGATTTAGTTAAAATAAATAGGAAATAAGTTACCTAATAAATTTCGCGACATCTAATACTAGCTGTGTCAGCGACTTCGCCTATTTTCGTGCCTTATTTCGAATAGTTATTTTGGGCAAATTCGTTTTTGCATTCACCTTCATCTTTATAAATTTAAGTTACCCGACTCCGCGACGGTCGCGTCCCTTCCCGTCGTTAATCTTAAAAATTGACATATAGCGTCGCGGATTTTTTTTAGATCATATAAAGAGGAATCATTCTTTTTCTTCAGTTTTGCGTATCTTGTACCGTTTTTTGCAGCGAACGCCTCGGAAACCCATAATGATAAATAATTTTCTCAATTTTTTCACATTTCTCGCTAAATCTTTGCTTGTATTAGTTTCAGGGCGATGTTATAGTCGCATTAGTAGTTATAATTAGAGATTTTTTTAATTTTTTTTTTTCTTTTTCCGACCGCCGCTGTAGCCAAATGGTTAAACATATTGTCTACCATTGCGTTAAGAAAGGTTCTGGGTTCGAAGCCCAGGGAAATATAACATTGTTTCGGTCTGGCAGGGCACAGAAGTCTGATCATCTACTTGCCCCATGCCCCACGAGGGGGAAACGGAATTTCACACACATTTCTTTTTTAATTTACTTAAGCTCTACGTATATTAACATGAGCTGTTTGTAATATGCTGTCTAATAACTTTTTCAGCTTACCCAATATTTTCTCAAGTCGCAAATAATGTTTTCGATTCAGTTATATCATTTATAGTCCTGAC